CTGCTGGGCACTTTCTTTCAGCTTCACACACTGGGTTAGTCTTTTGTTTGCTTTGTCAGCATTACATTTTTTTGTTTCCTCCATGTGTTTGGAGGCACTCCAAAGATTCACAGATGCAGACCTCTGGCTGGGAAGCCTGTGGTAGGTGTTCTCTTTTTTCTCATAAGACTTTCTATGGCTCATTTTCTAAAGGAGCCCCTGATCCATCAATCAGAGGTGAGGAATACCTCTGTCAAGACGAGGGGTTTGAGCAAACACATTCAGACCCCTAGTCTTGACATTCAACCCAGAGATGAAGGGGGTTTGGAGTACAGAGCAAGAGTAGGTGTGCCGGGGACTACTGCTCTATCTGATGGGTGTGTGGTAAAGATTTTCTCCCATTCTGTGGGCTCTCTCTTCACTTTATTGATTGTTTCCTTTTGCTGAGAAGAAGCTTTTTAGTTTGAATCCATCCCATTTATTGATTCTTGATTTTATTTCTTGTGCAATGGAACCACCATTTGACCCAGCTATTCCACTCCTTAAAATCAACATACTACAAGGATACAGGCTCATCAATGTTTATAACAGCTCAATTCACAATAGCTGAACTCTGGAACCAATCTATATGCCCTTCAACAGTTGAATGAATAAAGAAAATGTGGTATATATACACACAATGGACTATTACCCAGCCTTGAAGAAGAATGAAATTATGGCATCTGCAGTTGAATGGATAGAACTGGAGAAAATCATGCTAAGTGAAATAAGCCAAACCCCCCAAAATCAAAGACCAATGTTTTCTCTGATAAGTGGATGCTGATCCTTAATGGGGTTGGGTGGGTAGGACTGAATGAAGAAACTGTGGATTGGGAAGAGGGGGCTGAGGGGAGTGGAGTAGGTATAGAGGTGGTAAAGATGGTGGAATAAGACGGATATTATTCCCCTATGTATGTGTACGATTGCATGAAGAGTGTGACTGCATCGTGTACAACCAGAGAAATAAAAAGTTGTGCTCTATTTGTGTAAAAATAAATAAATAAATAAATAAATAAATGAGTAGGTAGTGTCATTTTGTGACTGTCCCACCCTCATCATCATCATGGGGTTGCAGTTGGAAAGAGGTGAATGAGAGAAGGGTTTCTCGATCACTTGCATTGTTTTTCTTAAAGAAAAGCATGGCGGCATGTGGGGGGAGGAATATATAACTAAGCATTACAGAAAGATCATGAAAGAAAATGATTTTCCTTAAATATAATTCATTTTTTAAAAAACTTATTTTTCAGTGGCAGTTGGACACAATATATTTATTTTGTTTGTTTATTTTTATGTGGTGCTGAGGATTGAACCCAGGGCCTCACATGTGCTAGGTGAGCGCTCTACCACTGAGCCACAATCCCAGCCCGAATCTAATTTATTTTTAAACCTTGCCTGCTCCCTAATTTAGGCCTCTTCCCTGTCCCCTTTAAAGAATATGGTCTCTTATGGGAGGAAAATAGGAAAAGATTGCTATGAGGGTGAGCATGAGATTTATTTTAGTTTTGGAGAGTTTGGTGTAGTAGCAAAAAAATAAAAATGAGAAAACAGTTACTTTGGGGTTGATTAATATCTGAGTCACAAATTCCTAGAAATGAAATGAAAGATGCAGACTTTGCCAACTTAACTGTCAATCTTAGAACATGAGAATCATGTCATGTCTAAATGCTTAATTCCTGCACAGGTTAGAAAATTTTTATTATTTTGAAGCACGAAAAAAAGGGCAGAAATGGGATGTGTTTGTTATTTTTCCAATATTCTCTTTCTTAGCAAGGTAAAGATAACATCTACCTTTAAATCATTATGATAAGTGGAAAAATATTTTAAAAGTTATTAGCACAGAGCCTGGCACATAAACAGTAGCCTTTTGGAAAAGATTTCTTTCACCTGCCTTGTCCCAATTCCCTGAACTCCAAGTTGTTTGACCTGCCATTAAATTTATAACCCACAGAAGAATGCAGACTTCCACAAAAGAAGTTCACATGGGAAATCCCATACAGCTTGAAATTACTGATGGCTTAAACATTTCCCATCAATATTTACTTTTTATTCAAGTGTACTGCCTTTTCTCCAACCAACCCAAGTTTACTTCCCTCACCAACAGTCTACTGATTAGCTGGTAAGGATGATTCTTCACCTACCTTCTCTTTAAGAAGGGTTTGGAAGTACTCATTATTTTTTCATAGTTTTCCTATCTGTAAATTTATTTATGGTGGGTTATAAAATAAATTTATTTTTAAATCCCTATTTGCACTTACTCTATACTTAAGAAATATCATATTAATCTATTTAGGTCTTTAGTATAGCTTTGTCATTATTTTCAAGCTGAAGGAGAAAAACCTAAAAATATATGTTCATTCTCTCTCTCTCTCTCTCTCTCTCTCTCTCTCTCTCTTTGGTATTGGAGATTGAACCCAGGGATACTTTACCACCAAATCACACCCTGACCCTTCTTTTTATTTTTATTTTTTAATTTTGAGGGAGGGTCTTGCTAGGTTGCCAAGGCAGGTCTGGAACTTGCAATCCTCCTGCCTCAGATTGCCAAGTTGTTGGTATTACATGCGTCACTGTACCCTGTTTATTCTCCCTGATTATATGGCTTAGAAACAGGGGACAAATAAACTACGTGACTAGGTCACAGTGACACATCTTCTAGACAGATCTACAGAGGCCAGCTCCATGCAATGATATAAGGAAGAGTTTGCAAATCTCTGATTCTTCCTAAGAATGACATTAAATGAATCATAAGGAGCTGACAGGTCTTTAAGAAAGGACTGAAGTGATTGTGGAACAGAGAAATTGCTTATGTGCTGCCCAACTTGCACTGACTCAGAGACAACTCTGGTTTTCTCTATAATAGGAAGGGAGTCCAGGTACTTCGTGGCAATGTGTAAGCAATGAAAGGTCACCAGACAACTTTAATTCTTCATTGGCTAATAGGAAATTATTTTCAGGTTATCCTTACTCTGAATTTACCATGTGTAAAGTGGAGAAAATTCACATTTCACAATGATGATCTGTCTCAACAGGAATAATACCCAAATGACTACACAGGTACAGAATGAACATTACATTTTGCAAAACAAAGAATAGTAACCAAAAACAAAGACAAAGTAATAATTTTCAAGCAAAGAAACCAACATTTTCATACATATCTGTTTGCCTAAGAAAGGGACTAAAAGGTCGTAAAGGAATTAAAGATAACTTGTTCTAAAACTGTGGGGAAAATGTCAGGAAGCCTCAATCGTTCAAATAGAAATCACAAATCTTTAGACCCTATCAGTATTAGTAACAGTGAATGACAAAACAAATAAAATTTGGTGGTGGGGAAACAGATTTTCTAAAAATGTAACCCCCAAAGTATGCTGAAGTAAAACAATCACTTAGCAGTAGAATTTATATATAATCACTATTGCTATAGAACTGTTTATGTATTTGTTATAGGCTATTCAGCTAAAAATTACTGGGCAGAAGATGTTTATTGTAGGTAGAAAAAATAAAAAGGTGAGCTGAGACATTTGAGACATTCATAGGTTAGTTTCCTCTTAGTACTCTAAATTAAAGAGGTGTTACATATTTCTTGCTTCTGAGGTAAGCCAATGTTGTTGTAATCAATATTTTTATATGTGTGTTTATAAGGCCAATAAACGTGAAACATACAGAAACAAAATTTGTGTTTTTAGTCTCAAAATTACTTGGAAAAGCAGACTTAAAAATTTCAATATTGAAACTCAGTTATGGGCTCAGGTCTACTTATCTATAAAATAGAGACAATAATAGTATTTAACTCGCAGGATAACTGTGAGGTTTAAAACAAATATTCATTTAAATAGCTTCAAATAGCATATGGTGTTTAGTGTATGCTGGTTATTGCTACCATTATTGTTACTAGTACTTTGAATGACTATTATTTAGGTTAATTTTTTAAAATCTATACATGGTTCCTCCTCATTTTCTGAGAAAACATAAAAAATGTTTTCTCAATCTTTCATGATGTCTTCATTCCAAAAAAATCATGGAATTTTCTCATTTAAATGATTTAGTATGTAAAACTAACAATACAAATGTAATGTTGTCCTTATCAGATCTGTCCAATGTTATGCCCTCTTTCTCTATGGCTGGGGACCTATCTGCGCCCAAATGTTTTCTTTCCCCCAAGAGATCAAGTAAAGTGCAGGGCAACTCACTTGGTGAATTTAGTGATCTTAATGTCAAAAGAGCTCAGCTACTATGGGGAGCGTAGGGCTCTGTACTATACAAAGTTGATTAGCATCCTCCTAAGCACCCAGTAACCTACTGCACTTGACCAATGGAAAGATGGCAATTTTTCTAATCTTCTATGGATTGTGTCTGGAAAATATAAATATATGAGAGGTATAAGATGGTCTAAGTGTATTTTCAAAACATTTGAGGTTAATCATTTGCAAAGAGTAAAAGGATAATGCCTTCATCTTAAGACTTGTTAAAGGAATAACTGAAATGATTACTATCCCAAAACACAATAGCTCATGCTAGATTTGTATGTTTTTCTCTGTCTCATGGATTATGTGAGATCATCCTAAAGATTCAGGTTTGGGAAATAAACATTACCTACCAATCAGCTCTAAAGAATCCAAGAGAAAGTAGAATCTGAACTACAAAAGCACTGGCACGATGTCAATCATTTTGTTATTTTCCTTTCTTTCTATTTTATTTTTTTGGTAAAATGATTTTGACAAGGAAATGTTTATCATTTCATAGTAAACAAAGGTGACCCTCTTAAAACTGCACAAGATAAGAATAATAAATGCTCGTGGCTGGGTGTGTAGCTCAGTGATAGAATGTGTGCTTTGTGTGCACGAGGCCCTGGGTTAGATCCCCAGAACTGCAAAAAGTGAAAATAAAATTTAAAAAATGCTGTAGTTTTCATTCCCTCAACCACTGTAGAGATGGCTAAGTTCTTTATGGAGGTAGAACTTTGAGTTTAGATAACGTGGGAAGATTACCTGTCCCAGGGATCGCCAGTCCAAACCGGCACTGCCAATATAAACGTGTTGTTTGTCCACAATCCAGAAGGAGGACTGCAGCCGGCCCTTGTTGTAGGCAGTCATGTTCATGTAGGTCACCTCAGCTCCTAGGAGTTCAAGGAGATGCCGGTCAGCCTTTGTTTCAAGGTTCTGTACTGACAATCAGTCAATGACCTGCTGCAATACTCATGGTCTGCCCTTTAACACAATTGAGACTTGGGGAAGCCAGCCAAGGCCCTGAAGGTTCCACTCTGTTCCCAAAAAGAAGACTCCAAAAAGAACTAAAAAAAGAACAAAACAGATTTTCCCTACATATTCGCAGAGGAGGCTCTGTACACAGTGACAAGACCATGGCCTCTCAAGTCACCCAGATCTCTTTGAAAATCCTGTTCCAACACTTACCATCTGGAAGGTGAGATAACAAAACACTTCTCTCCTTTTTCTTTTGGAATAATTTTAATAGACTTTTGCAGCAAATAAAAGGATCAGCCTTGTTCAGTATTACTAATCTCCCCAATAAGAAATTGGCCTTCTTAACGCTTTCTCTACATTATTTTGCCCTTCTTGTTCTTTCACTTGCCTTTACTTTTTCATTTCTCCCCTTCATTATTTACTTTGGGTTTGGTTTCTTCTTGGCCTTTCTTTATCTGATCCAGTCTTAACCTGAGCAATGATTATTCAAGCCTTTACTAAAAATGCAATCTTGGACAGTTTAATAATGTAGATGACCATTAAAACCAAAAACACTTCCAAAGAGCTGGATTTGACCAATTGTTTTAATCCAAATGTGGTAGACTCCACGGTCAAGTCTGAAAGTATTGCTGTCTCAAATTCATTGAAAACCTTTCAAAAGGAGCATTAGTCCATTCATTACCAGGCCATTTAAATACATTTCTGCTAAAGGTCCATTCTCTTTAAAAGAACTGACCTATATACATATCTTTAATGAATCAAACTGTTTTGTCTTTAGATAGCCACTATTAATGGAGAGAATATATTCTGGTAGCACACTTCATTGTTAGAATCTTCCTTGCCAGGAGTATATAACATTGTGCCTAAGGATATCAGGGTCATGGATTCAAGTTTCAGAGACAAAGCCCCAGGCCAGGAGGTAAGGGCCAGACAATGTTATAAAGGGTTCAAATTGTTTCTAGGCAGAATAAGTCCTTGGTAAGAGGCATGCGCTGCAGGTAGAATCTGGGGGTAAGCCCCAGGATCACCTTCATGCTTTTCTTTGTAAAAACTATAGAAGATCCTTCCTTCAATGATGGCCAGTTTATTGCTATTAAAAAGTGTGGCCAGATGAAGTTAAACTATGAGTTTGTAAATCACTCTCCTGAAAGGCAGGAGAGTGATTTACATCATTTAACCTCTAACTTTTGGGAAAATGCAACTCTAGGCTTTTTGTGGCAAGAGGATGAAAAGAGAGGCTGTGTGGTTGAGGGAAGATCTGAGGGGCTAGGAGCACCCGGGAAGATTTTATTTGAGGGTAGGGTGATTTCTTTACTCTAGGAGCAATGGGAACATGTTCCTCAGCTTCTAGTCATTCTGGTTTACGAACATCCAAGGAAGAGTGCCAGATGCCGGATGAGGAACCACACTGGGTATTATTTGATATGGCAAATGCTAACAGGTACTGCAGAATTTGAATGTCCAAAGCAAGAGATTGCTGTGGCTATTGTAGAGAGACCTGAATCTTCATGGAGGGTACCCAGGCCCGGAGTCACAGCTATTCTTTGGAGATCCTCTTAGTTTCCTAGAGCACCACAAACTGGGTGACTTAAAGCAGCAGGCACTCATTCTCTCTTAGTTCTGGAAGTTAGCAGTCCAAAATTGGGCAGGGTGAAGAGCAGAGCGATAGAGTGCATATTTCACAAGAATGAGGTCCAGAGTTCAACCCCCAGCACCATGAAAACCAACCAAACAAAACATAGATATTCAAAGTCAAGGTGTTGGCAGAGCCATGCTTCCTCTTTTGAGAATCCTTCCATATCTCTTCCTAGTTCTAGTGGCTGTCAATCTTTGGCACCCTTTGGCTTGCAGGGGCAACACTTTAATCTCTGCTCTCTTGTCACATGGCATCCTCTCCTTGTGTCTGTGTTCTCTTATGAGGTCACTAGTCATGTTGGATTAAGGCCAAACACACTATAGTATAATCTTGACTAATTTATACCTGCAACAAATGTATTTCTACCTAAGTTCACATTCTGAGCTATTGGGGGGTTAGATCTTCAACATATCTTTTTTTTTTTCTTTTCTTTTTTTTTTTTTTGCGGGGGTGGGGAACAATTCAACTTCATCTGGCCACACTTTTCAATAGCAATAAACTGGCCATCATTGAAGGAAGGATCTTCTATAGTTTTTACAAAGAAAAACATGAAGGTGATCCTGGGGCTTACCTCCAGATTCTACCTGCAGCACATGCCTCTTACCAAAGACTTATTCTGCCTAGAAACAATTTGAACCCTCTATGACACTGTCTGGCCCTTACCTCCTGGCCTGGGGCTTTGCCTCTGAAACTTGAACCCATGACCCATTGCTACCTTGCATGGGACTGTTTATTAGTTCTTAAAGACTCCATCTATTCTCACTAGGTCCCTTGCAACCCCATCCCACTGGCTCTCCGAAAATGCACTGATGTTATATGAAGGGCCCTGCGGGACCCTACCTTTTGACCCCTCCATCCCATAATGCATATATATTGCCCTAAAATTACCATATTACCATGTTACTTTACCTTGTAATTTAGCCTTAAAGAGTTTGATTTAGAAGATCCTGGGTCTTATGTGACTCTCCATCTAGAGCCTCTATAGCTCCTTATTGATGACTAAAATTATTTTACAAAGAAACAGTGCTTTTCTTTTGGAAAACCTTTATTGAATAATATATACCAGAATGTTATGCTATGTGAAATTAGGGATACAAGGTCTAAAGTGACTGATTAAAATTCAGGCATACTAAAGTGTTATCTCAGTTCATTTGGGCTGCTATAATAAAATACCATAAATTGGGTAAGTTAAAAACAACAAAGAAATTTATTTCTCACAGTTTTCTAGAGGCTGGGAAGTCCAAGTTCAAGGAATTGGCAGATTGGGTATCTGGTGAGATCCCACCTTCTGTTCCATAGATGGTGCCTTCACATGGGGGAAGGAGCAGAGGGTTGTTCTGGGATCTCTTATAGGTCACACATTGTCTTCATGAGGACTCTACTCTCATAACCTCATCACCTCCCAAAGGCCCCACCTTCTAACATTATCATGTTGGTGGTGAGGATTTCAACATACAGACTGTAGACGGACACACATATTCACTCTACAGCAGTGTCATCTTTGGTCAGGATGTGCTCCGTGCCTGCTGTTCAGAGAGGAAGAGGGCACCAAGTATGTGAGAGATCAAAAAGAGGAGTCCCCATCACTGTATCAGGGAATCCCTAGTGAAGGCTGAGGGCATGGGAGGATGGCTTCACTGTTCTGCTCAGGGCTAGAGACAGCTTCATAAAAACCAGCAGAACTCTGTGTAGAGATGGAGTCATATGTAACAATAGTAACTCCCATTTATTGAACAACTTTATGTGCCTAGAACCAAGAGAGTCTTGTTACAATTATCCTAGATGGTGTATCTTATTTCCTTATTTTAGTATACACTCATTTGCTGTGTAAAGATGTTCCTGTCAATGACCAATTGTCTAGTGATACTGTAGCCATGTTAGTTTTTCTAAGTATACGTTAGGATGCTTACACAATGATAAAAATGACCAAATATCACAATTTTCAGAACCTATACCTGTCATTAAGACAGCCATGTTATATAATAAACTACTGTATTATGTAATGTAAGAAAATCTACTGAAAATATTTAATGACGTATCTAGAAATATTATTTCCCCATTAAGAATTCTCTATTTTTCTAAATATCTTTCATTTGTCTCTGAAAACACATGCTTTTATCTGAATTTGTAACTGGATAGATATTCATTTCATCATCTCCAGTGTTTACCTAAGTTTATCACAAGCATATTAGTCAATATTTTAGGTAAAGGAATTTAAATTTATGTACACTTTCAGATTTTTTTGTGGATTGATTTAAATTTTTCCTTATCCTGGTGGTTTTTCATATTTATTAGAAACAGATATTAAAATCCAATCTTTTCTGAGTATAAAATATATTTAATTATGAAATGTCTTTAATAATCTACTTATTGTAGTAGTATTATCCACATACCTTTATATTAAGTTGTTCCTTTAAACATTATAGATTTCTAAGATTATATCTTTAAGTCCAGCTTGATTCAAATAAACAACTATTACAACTTTAGAAGTATATTTAGTTAAGCTTGATTAAACAATTTTCATTTTCACATATTTACTTTTAGCAAGAAAAAAACACATTGCACCAGTTCTTCTGTGTGCAGCCCACAACTCATAGGGCAGAGACCTCAACCTATGACTGGGAGAAGTGTACATTACAACCACATGCTGCATCAGAACTATTGTTGACAGCTGTGCACAACTGTTGCTCTTGAGTCCAGATCTCTGCAGCTCCTCCTTGTTTAGCCTGACACCCTACTTGTTTCACTGATGATGAATAGGAACTATTAGCAACTTGAATGCTTTTCAATGCCAAAAGCAATAAATCAAGTGCGTGTACCTGTTTCTTCAAATACTTTATAAAATGCTTTAAAGATATCTTGGCAGTCCTAATTAAATTTCAGACAAACAAAAGAACCAAGTTCATAACTTGAAGCTGTACTGACCTAACGGTGTGAACAGAAAGCTCCTAATTGGTTACATGAATCAGGGTAAAGCGGTATGGATAATCCCCAGGTTTTACTTGTGAAGTCAAAGGTTAAAACTCTTGAATTTCCAAATTACTCATTACAACTCCTTTGAGCTTTAAATGCTTGGTTGAAATTTGATAAAGAATGTTCCTGGCTTTGAAGGGGGCTGTTTCTTTATTATAACTTATTATAGTTTGGATCTGCAATCTCTCTCATAGGCCTATGTGTTGAAGGCTTGCTCCCCAGTGCAGCGGTGTGGGGCGTTAGGAAAATGATTGGATTATGAGGGCTTGGACCTTACCAATGGATCAATCCTTGGAGGGATTCATA